TATGTTGCTTTGATTCTAAGGGTTGTAGGGGATCCCAGTTACGTGCTGTATATGCCAATCATTGCAAACTGCTTCAAATGTCTTGCTAGTATAGATTGGCCCATTGTCAGTTTTAATAGACATGGGAACATCCATAATTCCAAAACATTTTAAGTAGATGGGAGATGACCTTTCTTGTGGTTTCTCCTGTGGAGGCTGTGGCCATTACACAGCCTGAATAGACATCAATTATTACATGAATATATTTTAAATTTCTAAAAGTTGCAAAGTAAATGACATCCATTTGCCATAGAGCATTAGATTTGGGGGGAAAAGGTGCACATTTTTTGCAGTCTCTGACTAGCTGTCTGCAAGCCTCCTTAGTCCTGCTTTTATGCAACTGTCATGTCTGAGGGCAGCAGAGAGGCTTGAGCTGCTTGTGTCCCTATATCCTGGGGGGCCAAATTCTAGTCATCCAGTGTGCCATTTCAAAATGTTGCCACTGCTGCTCTGAGTTCCTTATTTAGTCCATCCCAGATCGACTTCTTGGCTAAGGCCACCCTGGCTACTTCATGAGACACCTTTTCTTCTTCTACTTTGCTTACCCTGTCGGTAAACTGTGGCAAGTCCTCTGTGGCCTTCTGCCTTAAGCCCTGTATGGAAACTGTCCCTCCCCAGCTGCCAACTTCCTCCAGGCTCTCAGAGTACAGAGTCACCCCTGATGGAAATAATTTGGTGGGCCTGTGGCTTGTACCGCAGTGGAACTGTAGATTCCCTCTCCTGCAAGCACTCAGCTGGGAGGCTAACATTTGTGGTGTGGTTAGGATCCCCCCGCTGTTCACATTCATCACAGGAGAATGCCTTCCACTTCAAAAATGTTGCAGGCTCAAGAGCTGCTCTGGCTAGGTCTCTCCAGTCCTGAGGGCAATTTAGTTCAAGACTGAGGGATTCAAGCGTTTGCTCTGCAAGGTGCTCTGGGGTGGGGACCGTGTTGACTGGGAAGGGTTGTACTCCCTCACCCCACTTCTCATCTCTTATCCTACATAGATGTTCAAAAGGATCTCTGGCTCCTGGAATAGGTTTCTGGGAGACCATGGCTTGGGCCTGTCCAGTGGGTGGCCTGGTCAATTCTAAGCTGTCATAGTTCCTTGCTGGCTTGGGCATTGCCTCATAAGGAGGCAGTTGCCATTGCCCTTGCCTTTTTCCCCCTGTCTGTCTCTCACAGCCTCATCTTCCCCCAGGGCCATCATTGTATGGCAAGGGTCTGTTGCAGGGCCCCCTAAACTTTGCTCAATTGTTGTCACAATAAAAAAAATGTAGTGGCAAAATATACCCCTGTCTCACTTCAGCTTGCCTTGCATTTGCCATTATCTTGTCCCATATCCTAAGATCAGAAACATCAGCAGTATTGACCCATGGGTTAGTGTTTATATCCCAGAACTTCTGGACTTCTCTCTTATTTAGGGTTCGAGTATCCAAGAGAGTGTGAAGCGCTTACAGCTGCAAGTCAGTAGGTTCCCCATTTCCCCTTCCACACCCTGTCTTATAAGCTTATTTCAGATGCCTGCTCAGGTGCCAGGTGTGTGAGCTCTCTCTCGTCCAGCAAGGAGGTCCATGGAACAGTGTAGAGGAGAATGTGACTTCGGAGTCGCTAATCAAGACTTCCAGAGACTAAACAGGAAACAGGTTTGATTTTATTGTGCAGTTACCATGTATATATACTCAGGCAGTAGCTAAGTAGATTACAGGCAATCACTAATGCAAATTCTGCTGTCTTTGCAGTGACCAATGAAGGAGTGAGCCATGGAGCAAGTGCAGGGACTGCAACACATGGCCTCATGCCCAGGGCTGTGCCTATGAGGTAAGTGGTCTGCTGCTCACATGCCTAGCACAGGGGAGCAGCCTGCCACTTAGACGCCCTTAATGTATGCCATGTATGCAGTACTCCATGCACTTGTCCCCACAATTATCCAAGGCCAGACACTGGCCACACATTTTCTCGGGGCCCCCTTGACCTAACTGTTCCTCAGGCTGTAGATGAGGGGGTTCAGCATAGGGGTGAGGATGCTATAGAAAGCTGACACCACCTTATCTTGGTGAGCTGACCTGTAGGATTTAGGTCTCTTGTAGTTAAAAATCACAGCTCCATAAAAGAACCCCACCACAGCCATGTGTGAGGAGCAGGTGGCAAAGGCCTTCTTGCGGGCTTCTGGGGAGCACATGTGGAGGACAGCAGCCAGGATGAGACTGTAGGAGGTCAGGATGAGGCAGAAGGGCACCAGGAGCATCAACACACAGCAGATGTACATGACATTCTCACAGACAGATGTGTCAGCACAAGCCAAGCACACCAGTGTAGGGGTCTCACAGAAGAAATTATATGGCAGTTATTTCACCTGCTGCAAAACAGGAAGCTCAGGGCAACAACTGCCTGCATCAGCCCATCAGCTGATCCCAGGAACCGGGACCCCACGGTCATCCTCAGATACAGTGGCCAGCTCATGAGCATGGGATAGCGCAGAGGGTGGCATACGGCCACTAGTGGTCATAGGACATGTCTGCTAAGAGGAAGCACTCTCCACCACCCAGAGTGAGAAGGAAGAGGAGCAAGAGGAAGGCTCCCAAAGCTTCTGCTTCCACGAGAACCCTTCCTTCCATCACTCACTTTTCTTTTCCAAGCACAAGTCCTGAAGTGATGCTGACATCAAAGAGGAAAAAAAAGGTTTACTGCTCATGGCGCATCGAGGGAAATATTCCCCTTGTCTCCAGAGACAGTGATCACACCTCCTCAGTCATATAGGAAGATAGCACATGTGGATAGATCTGTACCTTCCATTCTGTGTTTCAGTACAAGTGCACATTTGATACAATGTGAAAAGACAAACAGAACATCTTAATGTCAGAATTCTGACTCACTTCTCTCCCACAACTGCACAGTTAGCTGGTCATAAACTCAAGTTGATTCCCTGGGTTGTAAATGAATCCCCTCAGGGTAGTGAAGGGGGAGTTGCTGCTCAGAGCACGTGACTTCCTGATTCAGGGTCCACATCAAGCAGAACACTGCTCACAGTAGGCTGGGAACAGCAGAGCTCCTACCTCACCCACACGGCATTCACCAGTAAAAACAGGCACCAAGTCAAGGGTCAGGGAAAGACAGGGCCTTGCTGAGCATCAGAAAGACAATAAGAGGAACAAAGCCCAGTGAACAGAGAAGTCTGAATTCACAATCAAAACACCAGCAACACAAATGGGCCTGTACCCTGGTTCTCCTTAGTTCAAAGTTTGAAAGGCAAATCTATTAAAAATAACCATTATTTGTTCAAAAGTATGCAAGATACAAGGTTATAGATCATGTCAACTTGCCTTGTAAATATGAGGGAGGAGTGGAGTTAAAATGGAGTATTCACATTTATGTATGTATATTTGTGGGGCTGGTGACAGAGCACAGGTCCTTATGCATCCTAGGCAAGTGCTGTACAACTGAGACACAACTGTCTTGCTTTAATTACTTTTTTCTTTTTTTTTGAAGGTAATCAAAATTAAGTAACCATTTGATTAATATAACCTGATATTACTGTAAAATAGTCTCTACAGAGTTTGTGGTAATCACTAAGCAAAAAACCTGATGCAATGAAAATCAAAAGCAAAGATTCAAAACATAACAATAGATGAAATTGCTTAACTACATGGAATTCAGTAAGAAAAAAAAAAGAATTAACATACAGCAAAAATAGAAAAAAAACAAGGGAAAGTAATAAGTTCTTACCTATTAATAATTACATCATTTGAACATAAAATGAATAAATTGAACATACAATGAATAAATACTTTGATTCTAAAATGTTAAGCAGCTGAATGGTTAAAAACACCAAAGAGCAACCCAATGTGCTTCTAAGAGACCCCTCACATGTGAGAAAACACAGAGGAAAGTGATGGAAAGAAGAGGATATTCCATGAATGGAAGCCAAAGAGAGCAGCCACCTAGGCTTGAATTCAAATAAAATGACTGATGCTGAAAGAAACAAGAGTTGAAGTCACCATCTTTATACAGGAGATGATTCAGCAGGAGAATAAAACATACCCAATGTATAAAGCAAGGCTGTTCACTGTGAGGACAGAGACAGCAGTGTCATAATGACAGGCACCTTCAACACTTGCCTTCAGCCCTGGGTTTAACTGCGACTGGAACCAACTGGATGATGCAGTGGGCAGGCAAGAACATGGCACCCAACATGTTCTTATCCACAGACTCTGGCATCTCTTGGGCTAGATTCCATATTAGGGAACAAAGAAATCTCAACAGTACCAAGAGGAACCTTGGTGTTAGACCAGGAGGCAAAGAAAAGACCACTGACTCCAATTAAAATAAAATTAAAGCAAGCTTATTGTTTCAACCAGCTGGGCTACCTCTCCCAACAAAAACCACAGCAACAACATAGTCCTGCAGCTTTCTTGCAGCTCAGCTTTATAGTCCAGAAAGTTACACAAAGGGGGTTACAGATAACAAAACTCTGAGGAGCATAACACAAAGGCTAGTTTACATTGTTGCTGGCCCCGACATCAGAATTTATGAAGGTCATTAGAGCCTCAGTGAGGGTACTTATCTTGGCCAGGGAAGGCCAAGATTTATGAAGCATCATTAAAGTTTAGAGAGGGCTGCTATCTGGTCAGAGAGAGCCAGGCATGGGTGAATTCAAGGCACGAACGGGCAGGCATTCCAAGCAAGATCAGAATTTGCAGTAATTTATAGTAAAGCCAAAATTAGATTTTCATGTCTTTTAGTGAGATGGCTCCCAATTTTAAGAGGGAATCAGACTGGGTCTATCACTTGGTACAATGAAATTTTTGATTCACCAAACACTGCACAGAAATACCTTAAAAGGTAAAATGGCAAAGTGAAAACAAAATAAATTGATAGAACACAAAATCAGCAGATCAATAGAGCAAATAAACTAATAATTTGTAAAGGCAACATGAATCCATTTTTGGAGGTACAATTTTGGTAAATCCTTGTGTTGGAATCACATAGCATGTGTCTTGCCCAGCCAATTTCTGAAGGCCCCCTTGACGTCTTTATTCCTCACGCTGTAGATGAGGGGGTTCAGCACAGGAGTAAAGATGGTGTAAAATGCAGAGACTACTTTGCTATGGCCCACTGAGTGGTAGGACTTGGGTCTCATGTAAATGACCATGAGGGTGCCATAGAACAGCCCCACCACAGCCAGGTGAGAGGAGCAGGTGGTGAAGGCTTTCTTTCTGGCTGCAGCAGAATGCATTCTTAACACAGCAGCCAGGATGAGACTATATGAGGCCACAATGAGAGACAGAGGGATCAAGAGCATCAGGGTGCAGCAAACATACCTGAAAAGCTCAAAAACAGTGGTGTCTGCACAAGCTAGGCTCACCAACAAAGGTACCTCACAGAAGAAGTGGTCTATCTCCCTGGAGTGGCAGTAGGGGAAGCTCATAGTGGCACTGGCTTGCATCAGCCCATCAATCCCTCCCATAAGCCAGGAGCCTGCTACCAGTTGGGAACACAGCTTGTGGCTCATGAGAACATGGTAGCGCAATGGGTGGCATACAGCCACATAGCGGTCATAGGACATGGCTGACAGGAGGAAGCACTCTCCCCCTCCCAGAGTGAGGAACAAGAAGATCTGGGAACCACAGCCAGCAGGAGAAATGGACCTGGAGTTCAGCAGGTAGTTGGCTGCCATTTTGGGGATGATGGTGGAGACCAGCATCAAGTCCATGAGGGAGAGCTGGCTGAGCAGGAAGTACATGGGGGTGTGAAGTCTGGGGTCTGTGTGGATGAGCAGAATCATCAAGGCATTGCCCACCACGGAGGCGATGAAGGTCATGAACACCAGAGAAAACAGGACTCGATGGGTCTGTGTGTAGTCAAAGAGCCCCAGAAGAATGAAGTTAATCCCTGTGGAGTGAGTGGAGTTCTCCATGGCTGTGGGCAACCTGGAAGGCAGGAGGACGGCTGAGGAAAAGGGCCTGGTTAAAATGAGGATCTGGAACTTCCTTAAAATGGCTTGGTCACCTGACAGAAAGCCTTATCCTGAAGGCCTAGTTATTTAATTTTCTTCTTTCCAGCAAAACATTTTCCTTAGCATTCCATGGTTCATAGCTGCCAGGAGTTTAGTATGTTCTCAATTCCAGCTAAATTAGAAAAAATGTATACACGGCTTTTATACAAGGCTCTCTCTCAGGCTGCAGCAGAGTGCTAGTCTGAGAAGGCTGATGCGTGGCCTGTGATTGCCAGTGTGATGCCTTTCATGTCATCCTGGCCCAAAGAAGCCATGTTGTGTAATCCCAGGTTTCTACATTGGAATATCTCCCTGTTGGAGGACTTTTGAATTCATGTAGATTAGTGGATGTTGCACTCTCTCTTGTGATTGTAACTTTTCAGTTTTCTCACACTTGTATTTAAGGGAGTTTCTGGAGATTTCCTTCAATACTAGGATGAATTGAAATTTAAAATTTAAATAAGCAATCTAAACAAAAATGTATAACCACTGAAATCAGACTTTGCTGTTTAGGAAAGAAAACATGACTAAATTTCTCTATTCCACAAAGGCAGGGGTGTGCCCCACCATGCCCACCTCCTCACCTGGTCACCACTTCTCCTCCTAATCAGGAGCCATTAGTCAGTACAACACCCTCCAGGCAACTGTCTTCCACATCTAGTAGGTATTCAAAGAGCTGCTATGTTAGACTGAAAATTCCTATTTAAAAAGTTGATAATTTCATAAATAACATAAAGAAACAAACTATGCTACTTGCAGGCTCTCACATTTAAGTAATCCTAGGTTCTTACAGGCAGGAGACAAGCGCCAGTCTGTTAATTAAGACTGGTCCAAACAAGCTTCTTCACTTGAAGTTAGTGTTGAATACTCAGCGTGGATTATGAACAGGACCCAGAGCCTCTCCCTTAATCACAGGATGGCTCTCTTGTAACTGAAACCTCCAGATGGCGTTTCTCTGCCATGATGTCCTCCGTGGATGAAAGGCTCTCTTCTCACACCTCAGTGAATTTATCTTCTCCTTACAAATTCAAGTTTTCATAGAGAGCAATAGATTAATGACTACCAATAAAACAATGTGGGGGTTCACTCATAATCTATGTGTAGCAGGCCATTTCTGATTTATTTTTTCAATTTAATTGAAAACCAAGATAAATTTTGTAAGTGGGCAGCACACCTCTAATAAACACTGCAGCTATACTGACTAATGTAGTATGCCAACAATGCTCTTTAAATTTAAGTACTTAGATTTTATTGTTATCAAAATAGCCAGTGTCATAATATCATAATTATCATAATATTTAACATTATTGTTATAATATTGAACATATTACTGTCATGCCCTCTTTATTGCATATGTATGTATATGTACATCCAGTTTACCAATTCTTAATCACTGCTGCATCAGTTGGACATTATGCATATAGCATATTATACTTATAAATGCCTGGTTCCTCTGTAATACTCATATTGTGATCTATGTCCTTTACATGTGGTAAGAATTTCTATAGTAATCAATCTTAAATTGTTGTCTTTATTCTTGAAGATATATGAATCCCTTACTTTCTCACTATATTCAGCTGTCAATCTGTTTCATTTCCTGCATCTGTGATGTTGTTAAATATTTTCAGGAGCAGTAATAATTGCCAGTCATAATACTGTGAAAATAAGTTCTGAGTCACATTTCCTATGATACCAAGGCAGAAACTGTTATACTCCTTGACCCCTGGATTCATCTGCAAACCCATTGTGAAGTATTTTCCACTTCTTTCTGTTGAAAATGTTTCTTACACATCTTTTTTTAAAGAGAGTGTGTGTGTGTGTGTGTGTGTGTGTGTGTGAGAGAGAGAGAGAGAGAGAGAGAGAGAGAGAGAGAGAGAGAGAATTTTTTTTAATATTTATGTTTTTAGTTCTCGGCAGACACAACATCTTTTTCTGTATGTGGTGCTGAGGATCGAACCCGGGCCGCACGCATGCCAGGCGAGCACTCTACCGCTTGAGCCACATCCCCAGCCACTCTTACACATCTTGTTATTTATACACAATTGCTTTATTTTATCATTTATATACATTGCAGATATCTTCCCTGAACTATTTTATAGAATCCAAACTTTTATTACACTATTTAGGATCAAAATTTGCATTATATACCCCCATATTGGTGCACTTACATGCTGTTACTCATATGTGGATGGGATGCATTATGTGAGTAGCTTTTCAAATCTGAATGCTCTGCATAATTTTGGGATAAAGGTGCCACTGATTGCTATGTAAACTATATTCATAATCACTGTGAGTTTGGTATTGATTTTCACTGTTAGCAAATACTGCTCTCATATATCTCAGTCTTACAAATGCACTGGTCCAAGCTTGTCTTCCCACTGCTTGGTGTGGATGGAAAGGCTGTGCTCTGTGACTGCCTCAACCACAGATGAAGGAGGGCTTGCTGTGGCTAAGCCAGGCAGCACAGTGCACCATGGACAGAGATGTGATTATGGGTGTCTGAGTTAGCCTGAGAGTGGAAGGAAAGCATCCAAGTCCTGCACAAATCTACTCAGAAAAGCTGTGTGAGATGTGGGGCAGATCACCAGCCCCCTGAGACATACCCTGGCAGGTCCCAGACTTGGGAGAACCTCACACTGCCCTGGAAGCTTCCAGCCCTGGCTTCCTGCTGCTGTGGGTTCTCTCTCTGACCCATGTTTTATGAAAACAGCAACAGCTGTGCCGACACCAGCTTCCCACGAAATCTGCAGAGCATAAAACATTTCAATGTAATTTGCACTCTCTATTCATATGTGAATAAGAAAATCATTTAACACTAAAAGTATTTCAAAACATTTTTGTGATCTGATCAACTTTTCACTCACTGAACATGCCTTTCTATTTAAATTTCCACATGAAGTATCCTGTGGAATGTCTGCATATTAAAAAGTAGACACCAAAAATCCAGAAATTTATGTGAATTGTTAAGAGAAATTCTAAAAATTAAAGCACTAATATGTATTTGTCTTCCTTTCCTTATCTCAATAGAATCATTTCTTTAATTATGTGCATACAGAAATACAGTTTTGTGGTCTGGGGACTTAACCTTAAAAATCAATATATCTTACCAGTAGTTGGATAAAATTAGGCAACTTAAATCAATGTAAACCTCAACTTTATTCTGCACAGACTGGATGGCCTAACAATATGTATTAGGATAGTATGCACTTCTTTCATTGTTTGATGATTACAAAAGAAAATTCATGCAAAAACATTGTAGCATGCATGACCCTTCTGTTCCACAAATATTACCCATAATTATTAGGTTTAGAATATTATTACAATTGGTCATGAATAGATACTGCCTACCCAAATATTTTGGGAAAATAAATGAATACTTTAGGATTATAATATTGTGTGAGTATATATGTGTATACACACACACACACACACACACACACACACACACACACACACACACATATATAAGTTTAAAAGACAATACTTTCAACACCACTTTGGACTCTGAACTTTGTGTGTCTTTCATAAATTCTTTGAATATACAACAGTCCCACAGGAGCACCGCTAATTTAATGCCCTTTATTAGTCTTGAAATTCTTCATAAATTACCAAATTAACTTTAATTAGTAAAGTTAATATACTTAAAGAATTGAATTAGTAAAATTAATATGCTTAAAGGATTATTTTGAATTAATATATCATGGATATTTTCATGTACACAATAATTATCACATTTTTTTTTCAAATTTGGAAGCAATAAATCAAATGATAAAATCCTATAATGTGTTCATGACAAAAAAATATTGTGGCCAAATGAATACAATTATGTGTGCCTCCATACAATTAATCTCAAGCAACATTTGTGGGGACAAAGAATTATCAGTTTGCTGCCCTTTTCCTCTCTATATTGAAAACAATAACATCCTGCTGTTGCTTATTTCCCAATTACATAAGCTTTGTGATTATGGAGAGCTCACTTCTTCCATCTACAGAGTATGTCCACCCACTTCAGTGTGGCTCCCCAGAATGAGAAAAGCTGCAATCTTTCCACTGAAGGTGCATGTCACATATCTTGCTGACCAATACTTAGATTTGTCCTGAATAGGGTAGTTTTCTTGAATCAATCACAGAATTTACCATAAAGCACCCTTCACTATGTCTCCCAGGGACAGAGTGGTAGCTCCGTTCCAACACAGATGATAACAGCTGTGGAAATATCACCCTAAGCCCCACTTCATCAAGGATCGTCTTATCTAATGTCACAACAGATAAATGAGGCCGATTGTGCTTACATTTTAGAATGGTAGATGTAGAAACAGAGTGCTTAGATGAATGGATTTTTTTTTATTCCTGGAAAATCAAAGGGAAATGTCTTTTCTCAAACAGAACTAATTACTTTTTCCTTTGGCTTTTATACAAATAATATCTAGACATTTTCACAACACATTATTAGAGAACATGACTCCAGAATGCAGGCCTGAGAGAGTCCTCCTAGGTTTCCCTATTCCCAGGTTTCATTGCACCTGCAATTACAACAGTGTCAAGACTCATGTACTGAATAAATCAAATAACATAAAATAAATAATGGACTTTCCAAGGCTTAGGCTGCATCCAAGGATAAGCTTTTTGGTAACTGACAAGTTAATTCAAGTAGGGCACACCACTGTGATAGTCATTCTCAGCAGATGCAGTGCCCCAAACACCCTTATTGCACAAAGGAAGTAGGTGAGAAATACTTTATTAATTTACCACATATGAAAACTATTTGACTATAGGAATGCTGACCTAACCCATTGCAAATTTTACAAAATGTGTTGGCAGAGAGTAAAGGAAAGATAAGAGGTTATTGGATGAGATCAAGATATTTTAATTCTTGATTTTAAAATTATGATACAGTCCTTAAAAATATAAAAAAAAGTGAC